TCTGACATGGGATGTGAACATCACTGGTAAGGGGTAGCATTTGTTGTCCATATAATGATTGGCTCCACAGGCTATCTCAGAGGACAGCTAAGAGTCAGCCATATTGCTGCGAGCCTGGAGTCATAAGTAAGCCAGAACGGGTAAGGATAGCAGATTTCCTTCTCTGAAGTACATTAGTGAAAAGAGTTAGTCTTTTATGACAATCAATGATGGTTACATGGTCACCATTAGAGTAGCTTTTCCAATTTTTTGAACATTTTTGGATTTCCAGAATTTATTTAAAACAATACAACACAGCAACAGGCCCTTCAGTGCACCAAACGTTGCTACAGAATATGGTTGTCAAATAGGAACTTGTGCTTTTTGCGTTCCTTTTCTCCATAGCACGTGTTCAGCTAATACAGTAAGGAGGCAGTCAGGGTGTACAATGCAATGCTCCTGATTCCTTGCTCCTTTGGACAATTATTGGCCTCCTGATAAAGCACAAAGCAATGCGAGATTCCTGTCATTCCTTAATCAGTCAAGGCAAAATTATTGCAATTGCTCCTGGGAGCTCTCAAAATCAAGCTTGGTAACTTCAACCCTAGAGAAAATAAACAGTAACTTGCTCTGTCTATTTCTTATGTGGCTGCAGCCATTGTGTGAAGTTATTGTTTAGCTGATTTCCAACCCAGCCTTGCATTTGCACAAGTACCTTGCAGAATCCACCTGCTATAGGCCATTTTCCTGTTTCTCTCTGACGCCGATGACTTTTCAGACTTTCCCAATTCAATTGAGCCTCCCCAACACTGATGTTCTCGCTTTCTGTCCAAGGTCCTTGACTCAGGAGATTTCCAGGCCTTCAATGGCCCTATGCCTGCAGAGGAACTGGTACCCAGTTTAAATGCCATCCCCTCTCCCCTCTACTTTGAAATCTCCTAGTCCTCTACCATTCAGTACAAGGTACAATGTTCCTGTCTCCAATTGTCACCATCACACTGGTCATTCCTCAGTGAGGCAGTGCAATTAAACCCATCTCCAGATATAAGTTGTTCAAAGCCCTAGCCAGTATTAATCAAATTCTCAATAATAACCATGAGTCCACCTCCTTCAGCCTTCCATTGATTGTCTTGGAAAGACTGTCCCGACAGACCATGCTGCAACTCTTGGACTGATATCTCCACAGAACCCTGAATGACTGACATATAATCCCTGGATTATTTGCACTTTACCTGCAGGACTGATCATGGCCCAGTCCCTTGGCAGCGAGAGATACTCTTGCTATGAAGAACTTCTCCATTTTGATGTTCACAAATTTGCTTTGACTTAAATTACATCCTATATGTTTATCACATAAACTGATGGCACATGTTAGACCTTGACTACTCACCGTATCCATGTCATGATTTTATAAACATCTATAAGGTCACCCCTCAGCCTCCAACGCTCCAGGGAAAATAGCCCCAGCCTATTCAGCCTTTACCTATAGCTCAAGGTCTCCAGCCCTGGCGACATCCTTGTAAATCTTTTCTGAACCCTTTCAGGTTTTACTATAGCAGGGAGGCCAGAATTGAGCGCAGTATTTGAAAAATGGCCTCACCTATGTCCTCCACAGCTACAACATGACGTCCCAACTCCTATGCGCAATGCAATGACAAATAAAGGCAAGGTAACTAAACACCTTCTTCACTACCCTGTCTTCCTGCAACTCAGCTTTCAAAGATCTATGAACTTGCACCCCAAAGTCTCTTTGTTTGTTGCCACTCCCCAGGACATTCCCATTTTGAGGCATTCAAGGTAACAATAGATGAGTATTTGAGAGAGAAATAATGTGTCAGGGTATGGGGAGAAGTCGGAGATTGACACCAGGTAATGATTCTCATTTAAGGAGTTGGTGTAGCCACAATGGGCAGAATGGTCTCCTTCTGTGTCATAATTCTGTGATTCTGTGAATGCTTCCAACTTAGCATGAAAGTCCGTGGGCACTCAACAGTACAATAAGACTCCTAAAATGCGTGTCATACAAAAATTCCTATCTGCATTTGTGAGATGTCAAAATGTCCTGAACTGCATAACAAAGTTAGGAAAGTTCCTAGTTGCCCCTCAGCATCATGGCAGATGGTTGAAGCATTGAAGTGGTGACTGAGGTACAAATGATGATGTGGTGTGCCTGGTGCTTTGGCCATGCTGAATTGCGTGGCTGAAGGATCCAGAGGGTCCGTGGCCATATACCATGCAGGATCGCTCTGTAGAAGGAGCAGTTCCTCATAAGGAAAAGGGAACTGGCCAACACAGGCGTTCCATGAGCTACAACTGTGTCTGAAGAGTTGGCTGGTTAGGTAGCTCCTCTCTGTTTGACCAGTCAGTTTCTGTGCTATCATATTGCAAGCTGCAGCAGTGGGAGCCGTTGGTTTTGATTAGCGATTGCAATTATAACAACTGGTCAGTACAGATTGACTGTGGGAGGGCAGCTCAGCCAAGTGGAGCATACAGCCTGGGAAGTCATGGATGCACCATGTGCTCAAGTTGAACAAGTCCACAGAGAATACCACCATCTGCACAAGAGCATCTTTGGACTTGGGTGTTTGCCACTGTGATTCTTATGCATTCAGGAATCATAGATTCGGGAAGGAGAGGTCTACGCAGATAGCATGTTTAGAAAGCAGGTGAAGAATTGGTAACTGCCAGGCAGCCCAAGGGACCAAGCAAGTTGTGCAGAAGTCATTTGAGATGATGTTGCTTGCCAAGTGGTTTGCCGCCTTGGGTACTGGTGAGGACAATAGATCCTCAGATGAGTACAGTCAGAGCCACAGCACTGCTATGCAAGATAGAAGGAAGAAGAATGGTAGTGTCTTAATTGTTGACAATTCTCTACTTAGGGCAATTGCCAGGCTTTAAAAGGCACCTCGCCAGAATTAGGAGCACCACCTCTTGGGGAGATTAGGTAGTGTTAGGGACACTGCCATTGAAACAGAAAAGCCCGTCTCGGCTTGATTATAGTGTGTGGGGAAATGGGCTAATGGCGATGAGTATGTGGAGGGAGACAGAGAAGCTGATTGTCAAGTTGTGCGGCAGAAAGGGACTGACTGTAGTGTGAACTGAAGGGTAGATCACAGCATTTGTGTTATGGGTGAGCCAAACACAATGATTACAGTGAGTATGTGTGTCAGAAGGGAAAAGGAGAGACGGGCTGGAATACTCAGTAGAAAATTGAAAGCTGTTTTTTGGATGATTAAGTAAAAGCAATGGTAACCTTTAGGAACCCTGGGGTGACGGATCAGTCATTTTGATCGCTGATGTAAACATCAATGAGATCAGTTTCTTCCTGGTCAAAACCCATGAACTGGTTCAAAGGTAAATAATGGATTGGTGAATGCATGAAGGCTTAACGTTTTTACAATATGCATTAAAAGAGACAGATTTTCATATTTATGACACATTTATTCTACGTTGATCGGCGATATACATGATTTAGTAACTAAAGGAGACCCAATGGATCATTAAGTATATTCAAGGGTGTGACAGACAAAGTTTTTAGCTTTGTGTTGTCCTGAATGGTGTCAGTCTTCTCGAGTGTCATTGGAGTTGGATTCATCCAGGCAGTGTACCACACTCCTAACGTTTGCCTTGCAACTCTGGATAGATACAGGGGGTACAGTTACCTGCCTCAGAATTCACAGCCTCTGACCTGCTCTTGTAGCCACAATACTTTTAAGACTGGTTCAGTTCTGTCTTGAGCTGTCTTCTGCTTGCTCAAAGGATCAAGATTGAGAGGGTACAGATCAAAAGTGATTTGCAATAGTACTAGATGTGTTGTTAAAACTGTGAACACTGCACTGTCCAGGTTTGCTAATTCAGACTGGACTGGCAGTGTCTGTCCCCAAGTTTCATATTGCCAACCCTGGGAAGGGTTGGATGCAAATGTGATATGATCACAATTGCCTCAAAGAAGGGATGAAGGCATTACACTTTAACATACAGACACTCGACTTCACAGTCTCCAGCAAATTCTTCCCAAGGGATGAATGTAACTCAAGGATGACTGTTAGGAGATAGTAGGTTCACTCTCCAATCATGGATGATGACTACACTACTTATACCCCAACTGAGACCAGATGCAGATTTAGAACAGCCCTTTCTCATCTCCTGGCAAGTCGATAGTGGAGCAGACAATGGGTCTCATTGAAATGAAATTGAAATGCTAGTATTCCACAATTTGCACAACTGAAGTAGGAGAGGTTGGGATGTAATTGAGACTGAAGAGCTCAGACAGAAATAGAGTCTTCTGAGGAGGAAAATGAGGGCACTGCTAGGAAGAAACATCATCTTCACAATGATGGAACAGTGCAATGTTTGGTGCAAGAGGCCAGAGAGGATTTACTTCTCTTCCAATTGATCAAAATCAAGTGAAGTCATAGGTTTTCATTGCTGCAAAGGCAAGTAATACCTATTGTTGGCCAGGAGCTGGTCACACATTAAAAACAGCAAGTTACCTCATCCCTAGCCACTGTCATGTGCAGGCTGGGACCAGTTCGAAACGGGTCAGCCATAAGGTGTAAATCATTTTTAGGTGGAATAGGAATGAAGCAATGCTAATAGTGTCCTTGGGGCGAGCCTACAATGGAAAGACACAGGCTTGGCAAAGGAACCAGAACCAATGAGAAGTAAGGCTGTAACAATCTCAGAAAGATCACTTCTTATCTTCCCCACAAGGGGTAACATCTCTCTCTGTAACTGCTTGATTAAAACATGCCATCGTTTTAAATATCTGTGTTCGATCACACCTCAGCCTTCTTATTTGGAGGGGAAGGACATCCAGCCTGTTGATCCTTTTCTCAAAGAAAGTGAGGAGTGTTAGATCAGACACTGGCATGGATTGACGCCCAAAGCCTTTCGCACAAATGTACCAATGGGTTGTGCTAGTTTGCAGAAGAGGTGATATTCTCACTTCCTCTTCATGCATTTGCAGTATTGAGTTGCAGATTTGGACACAAATGATAACACTGTAGATATTTCAGCCTTTTTGACGACCTCGGTATCTACCTGGGTGGAGCTTAACGGATCTTAAAATATCCCAGCGACTTATCTGTAGTCATTTGAAGCTTAGCAATTGTCCGCCCTCCAGTGAATTGCCCAATTATCAGCGCGATGCATCCGTCAATACTTGAGAAACTAAAAAAATTAATGCAAAACGAGGAAAGCTTTATGATCAGGAGCTCTTTTCTGGTTCTAATCCTTTATGGATTGGAGCAGCTTTTGAAAACTAAACTCCCATGTCCATGTACTATCAATCGTGACAACGAAATCTTTGCCTACTGTTTTTTCTGCTTGCCTTCGGCGATGTTGCTCATGGTCAGCGTAATGCTGCAATTTAGTCAACTTCGATGGAGCTGTTACAAAAAGAAGTGTGCATGTTTGAAATATTTTATAACGTACGCCTTCCTGATCTTTAAGGCATTGCTCCCATCAGTAATATGGATCACCGTGTTGTTTTTAGATGGTAGTTACTACTCCTGTTTCATGATCATGAAAAATGTAACAGTGACCAAAGAGGCTTGTCTCAATTTCAGGTGCAGCAAAGGACAACAACATCATTGTGATCTTTCGCGGGTGAGTCATGCCTTTTGATATTACACCGATCAAATTTAGTGGAAAATATGCAACAGGAATTTTCAACTGTTACAGTCATTAAATAAAAACCGAAAGAACTGCGGATGCTATAAATCGGCAACAAAAACAAAGTTGCTGGAAAAGCTCAGCAGGTCTGGCAGCATCTGTGAAGGAAAAATGTTTCGGCTTGTGAGGAAGGGTCACCGGACCCGAAACGTTAACTCTGATTTTTCCTTCACAGATGCTTGTCAGACCTGCTGAGCTTTTCCAGCCACTTTGTTTTTGTTACAATCATTATCTTAGCAACACGTAGCTTGTGATCATACTTGATTTGAGTAAACAGTGGAGCTGAAAATAGTTCAGATACTGTAGAGCTTTCGGGTCGATTGTGATCACACCGTTATAATCCTAGTGTAGGGGAGGGATACAGGAATCCGGAGAGGGTTGAGTGTGGAGGATAGGTAACTGAAAACTTCAGCATGAATGGTGGAACAGAATGGGGGAAAAGATACCACATGTCACGGTTAGAATTTGGGATGAACGATTGTTATCTTTAAGGTTGGCTCAATCTTCTCACGATTTGATTGTGCCAATTTCATCAAGATTCGCTGACCTTTTCTTTGGGAAGCACCAGCCAGATTTATCACTCTATAGTCCTATTAACTATCAGCCCTGCCTTCATGGCCTTTTCCAATGCCAGTCCGATTCTTCCAATGCCATTCCTGGAACAACACACACCCAATAGATATCCTGAAGTAGACCAACATCCTTGGCACCTGCACCATCTGTAACTTGTAGGCAAACTGGCTTGGTGTTGGCATCCAGGGCTTCCCCTTCACTGGCGAAGTAATGGCACAGTGTAGAATCCCTACAGTTGTGGAAAGAGGCCATTCGGCCCATGAAGTGTGCACCAACCCTCTGAAGAGCATCACACCCAGACCCAGACCACCCCCTTCTATCCCTGTAACCCCATATTTCCCATGACTGATCCATCTAGCCTGCACAACCCTGGACACTGTAGGGCAATTTAGCACGGCCAATCCAACAAACCTGCACATTGCCTCAGAGGTAGGAGACACAAGGGGGTGGTGGAGGGTTGATTTTCGGACTGGAAGCTTGTGACCAGCGGTGTGCCACAAGAATCGGTGCTGGGCCCACTGCTTTTTGTCATTTACATAAATGATTTAGATTTGAATATAGGTGGAATGGTTAGTAAGTTTGCAAATAACACCAAACTTGGTAGTTTGGTGGACAGCGAAGAAGGTTACCTCAGAGTACAATGGGACCTTGACCGGATGGGCCAATGGGCTGAGGAGTGGCAGATGGAGTTTAATTTAGATAAATATGAGGTGTTGCATTTAGGTAAGTCAAGTAAGGGCAGGACTTACATATTTAATTGTAAGTCCTGGGGAGTGTTGCCAGAAATAGAGACCTTGGTGTGCAAGTACATAGTTCCTTGAAAGTGAAGTCACAGGTGGACAGTTTAGTGAAGATGGCATTTAGTATGCTTGCCTCTATTGATCAGTGCATTGAGTATAGGATTTGGGAGGGCATGTTGCAGCTGTACAGGATAGTGGATCAGCTACTTCTAGAATACTGCATGCAATTCTGGTCTCCCTGTTCTAGGTAGAATGTTGTGTAACTTGAAAGGATTCAGAGAGGATTTACAAGGATATTGCCAGGCTTGGAGGGTTTGAGCTGTAAGGAGAAGCTGAATAAGCTGGTGCTATTTTCCATGGCGAATTGGAGACTGAGGGGTGACCTTATAGAGCTTTATAAAATCATGAGGAACATGGATTGGGTGAATCGCCAAGGTCTTTTCCCCAGGGTAGGGGAGTCTAAAATTAGAGAGCACAGGCTTAAGGTGAGAGAGGAAAAATTTAAAAGGGACCTAAGGGACAATTTTTTCATGCAGAAGATGGTGCGTGAATGGAATAAGCTGTGAGAGGAAGTTGTGGAGCTGTTACAATTACAACATTTAAAAAATATTTTGTTGGATATTCGAATAGGGAAGGTTTAGTGGTACATGTCCAAATGGGACTAGATTAATTTAGGACATTTGGTCGGCATTGATAAGTTGGACCAAAGGATCTGTCTCCATGCTGAACAACTCTATGACCCTACTCTTGGACTGTGGGAGGAAACCTGAGCACGCAGTGGAAACCCACTCAGACACAGGGAGAATGTGCAAACTCCACACAGATAGTCACCTGAGGGTGGAATTGAATTGGGTCCCTGGTGCTGTGAGGCAGTGGGGATAACCACAGAGCTACTACGCCACCAAGCAGCTACAATTACATGCTCAGTGGAACATGGTTGTTATGGCTGAGACTTTCTCACATCCACGATTTGACTTTCTTGTACTGATTAACCACTAGGTTCACCAATTTGGCCTGTCTTTAGCCACATCCTATCTTTGCATCCTAATTCCACTCTGTCACCAATGCACACTATAGAGCAACATCCCATCAGTGGTTGGATCCATCCGTATTTCTGACAATAACTTGTGTGGGGAACAGAAGGAACACAACGGGCTCTTTATTGTGAGAGGGTACAGTGCTGCAGCTGATGGCTGCAAACTCTCCTCCTTTCAGTGAGCTCTGCAGCTCCCCTACTCTGAGGTCTGTGTGTCCAGTTTTCGTTCTTCAGGATTGTGTACTTACTTGTCAAAGGTGCTGTGGTGGCCGAGTCGTCATCACATGACAGTATATGGGAATGCTCTATGGTCTCTGCACTCTTCCCATTTCAGCCTATTGGAACTAAGAAAGTAATCATTGGATACAATATACCTTATTCATTAGACAGTGTAGACAGAGAGGGATTCAATTACTTGCCCTTTGCAAGTGACATACTGGGTCAATTATCATCAGCATCTGTCTCTTTTGAAGCCAGGAGTGATACCATCTGCTTCATTGAGCTGTCTATGTGCAGCTTGCAAGGACCAATGACATGACAGACATTACCAGTGGCCTGTATTTGAACCCTGAGCACTTTCACATTTCATCCATTTCACATGCACCATAATATGATTACAAACAGATTGTTGCTGCAGTTTGAAGTGGCGGATTGATGCATTTTCCCCTTTAGTAATACAGTCACAGAGTCATACAGCAGAGAAACAGACTCGTCGGTCCAACCAGTCCATGCCGAGCATAATCCCAAACTAAGCTAGTCCCATCTGCCTAGCTCATATCCCTCCAAACCTTTCCTATTCATGTACTTATCCAAATGTCTTTTAAATGTTCTAGTTGTACCCGTATGCACCACTTCCTCAGGAAGTTCATTTCACACATGACCCACCCTCTATGTAAAAAATTTGCCCTTCATGTCTTTTTTAAATCTTTCTCCTCTCACCTTAAAAATGTGCACCGTAGTCTTGAACACCCCCACCCTAGGGAGAAGATAACTATTATTAACCCTAACTGTACCCCTCATTATTGTATAAACTTCTATAATTCGTCCCAAACAGCCAGCAGAAGTGGAGCCTCCTCATTTGCCAATCGATTGACACTGACTCCACCCACCGTGGACACTGTCCCTAGCATTTTGCAGTTACAGGTCGCTTCTAGCAATCCACAAGTGATGGCAGGGAATGCAATTCGTGGCGAACACCCTTCTTGTGGATGCCCACCACGCGTATCTCTGCCTCCAAATGTCCTCTGTGTGCCCTGAACCCCATCATTCCACTTTACTGATAGCCCCTGTGGTCCTGCATGCTCACACATGAATGCAGTGCTCCAATGACCCTCCCCTTCTGCAGGCTTCCATACCCTCCCATTCTGCATTATCTCCCTTATACCTTGAAGCACTGTCATTGACTTAAGAAGGCGCATTGTAGGTACTGAAAATGGTCTCATTTGTCTTGTCACTGACATAATGAAAACCAGAGAAGCCATATTTAATTCATTCTGTAGCAATGGTAGCACAGTTACCAGGAAGAATTTCTTAATTTCTGTTTCTCAGATGTTTGATCCAATTGAATAAAATGCTGCACCATTCTGAGGCAAATGTTCTGGTGATTTCAGTGCCAAAACTCTCTTGGTTGCTTTTGCCCCCCTATAAGACAGTTTCCTACTCATTTCTAAATCAGATAACATTCTTCAAGGCATTTTGTTTGCATGTCTTTGGGTGAATAATCGAAACCTTGCAAAATATTGCTGTTAACTTGCTCAACTTAGTCTGCAGCACCATCTCAACATCCCATCTCATTTCATTTCACCTATATTGGTATCTGCCTGTGACTGCAAACTATCCATCCCATTTATCTGGATCCTTAGGCTCTGGGAGTTAATTAATGAAATCTAACTGAGTTAACATCTCCTGGATTATGTTTAATCACGTTAAGATATTGATGCTGAATCTCATAGTCTCACAGCTACTACAGAAGGGTTGGCACTATATCGCTGCAGTCAGGGCTCTACTACCAACCCCTTCCCCCAATAACTTGACTTACCTGAAGTCTGGCTTCTATAACATCATCTTCTTCATGGGTTATCTTTAGGCTCAGCAGCGGTCACTGCTCGAAGCTTGTCTGGTCAGACGATAGAGCTGGTAACTAATTGGAGAGATAGGCAGCAAGCATGAGACAAAAACAAAGTTGCTGGAAAAGCCCAGCAGGTCTGGCAGCATCTGTGAAGGAAAAAAACGGAGTTAACATTTCAGGTCCAGTGACCCTTCCTGAGAACTTTCTCAGACCCTTCTCAAACATGAGACATCCTTCCCAGATAGGAGGCAGAGGGTCTGACAGTTGATACCCCTGCTGAATGTAATATGGCTAAAGATCAGCCATCATTCAGTCATTGGCCTCTTTCTGACCTTTTCGCCAAGTTGCAGGGAAAGCAGTGCTCCATAACTCCCAGCCCATGAAGCTGGCTTCCAGAGGCATTGAGAATGAGAGCGGTTTAGAGATGGACAATATTTCAGCAATACAACAAGGGATGAAGAATTGCAGGTGATGGTGTGGTATTATTGCTAGACCTATTAATCCAGAGAACCTGATA